TTACGCGAATCGCACGCATTGAGGTTAGCACACGCGGTGCGCATGTGCACTAAACTTCGTACAGAGGGCAATTTGGTGGTACTTCTTGCGTACATGTTTGTGGGAACGTGGGGCAAATAGTAGCGTGCATAATTATGTAAAAGCTGCCACAATTGCGGCTAGAGAACAACACGGTTTTCGTGCGAATCGCACGCGTTGAGTTGAGCTCGCACGGTGCGCATGTGCACTAAACATCGTACGAAGGGCAATTTGGTGGCACTTCTTACGTACGTGTTTGGGGGACCATGGGGCAAATATTAGGGTGCACAATTGTTCTCATGCCGCCACAATTGCGTGCAAAAAAACGCATGGTTTTCACGCATATCGCACACGTTGAGTTGAGCGTGCACGGTGTGCATGTGCACTATACTTCGTATGGAGGGCAATTTGGTGGCACTTCTTGTGCACGTATTTGGGGGAACGTTGGGCAAATAATAGGGAGCAAAATTGAGCACAAGTCCCCACAATTGCACACAAAAAGATGGCATAGTTTTCGCGTGAATCACACGTGTTGAGTTGACCGCGCACGGTGCGCATGTGCACTAAACGTTTTACGAAGGGCAATTTGGTGGCACTTCTTGTGCACGTGTTTGAGGGAACGTAGGGTTATAGTAGGGTGCACAATTGTGTACAAGCCGCTACAATTGCACGCAAAAAAATAGCACGTTGTGATACATATACAGTTTCGAATCGCAAATTAGTAATAATTTAACTACGAGATTGGATTCGCACGTTGTGATACATATATAGTTTCGAATCTCATGTGATTGGAATCGCAAAAAAAAAGGACACGTTGTGATACATACACGGTATCGAATCACACAAACTATGAGATTGGAATGCAAGGATCCCATCCACCCACAACCAGAAAAGAGTGGATGTTATGATACCCAATTCCAAAATCATAAAACACCTCTAGGTCCACAAATATCTATATTGAATAGGACCTATAATCATAATTAGACTGAATCTTCTTCACATAATCAAAAGCGCACAAAACCAAATTAATTCAAATGATATTCACAATATTTTGCCTCTCCCACAAGAGGTTAACTAGATTAATTCAAATGGTATTCACAATATTTTATTATTATGGTCTCATTGGTAATCACGAGTATGCAACATCGATCGAACTGAGACCATGTCATTTTCATTAAGAAAAATCAAAAAAGAAAGCTAATGGAGCCTCACTAAGCATCAGATCATGATTTGAGAACAAAGTGAATATAATTAGTTGAATCCTTCGTCTCTCTATACATCGATGCCAAAGGATAATGAAACTGCCAAGAAGCCAGAAAAATTAATGGGCAATATAAAATTGGTTTGAAGTCCAGAATACGAAGAACTATGACTTAAAGTTAAATACATTGATTTAGTCTTTGAAGTTTATTTTTATAGAAAGTGGTATTCAGAAATTCAGGTGATTTCAGCTTAGAGCCTTGGACACAATACAAGAGCTGCTAATTAAGCACATGTTGCTAAAGAAAATCATTGTAAAATATTGAAAGGAGGCTCAGCATAAACATTGCAAAAGTTCAGCAACTTGTAAAATCACAATTACAAAAAAGAAAACCCAACCAAATCGTTATTTCTTCTCTTTTTTTTAATTTCTGATGAGCATCTAGAGAAATCATCAAACACTAAAATAATTTCCTATAAAACTTCCAAAATTTAGTTACCCAAATTTTAGCCGTCAAACCAGAAGAGAAAACATACTTAGCCTGCGTATTCTTCAAGAAAATAAGCCGTGTAGTCGGATAACACATGGCCTCTGCAGGATCCCTAATTGTAGCTTCAATAAGATTGATATCCGTGGTTCTATCCAAATTGCTCGGATCTGTTTTTGAATGAGCGCTTCCAATTGTCGAAATCCCTCCATTCTCTAAAAGATGAATATGGCTTTGTCACTTCCTCTAATCTCTAAGTGAACCACAACACTAATGAAATTTTTCTCTGAATCAAAGAGTAGCAAAACAGTTCTGAGCAAAATAATGTTCTTGAAATGTTGCTTTGAATCAAAATAGTTCAAAGAGTACCATAACATTATGTTCTTGAAATTTTGTTCTAAATCAAAGAGTAGCAAAATAATTTTCTTGCATATAAATTTTTTGCATATGAATTTTGCTCTGAATTTTTTTTGAAATTTTAGAAATTTTCTATGTTTTAGGTTGTATTTTTAGAGAGAGAGAGGGGGGAGACTAAGAGAGAGAGAGAGGGGACCCAAAAAAAAAAGAAAAAGAGAACTTGTTTTATCATGTTAAGAACGAATCTCATAGCAAAGCTTATGCATAGAGACAACCAAAATCCCCAAAACCCAAACTAACCAAAACCCAAAAACCCAAAACAAGAAATTCATATCACATGTAAAAATCAAAATAAAGCACTAACACAATATCCAATAAAAAAAAAAAAAGATTAAAAGAAAGCACTAAAACAGATTAAAAAATATCCTAAAAGAAATCAACTTTAGAAATCAAAATAAACAGAATGGGTAAAAAATATAAAATAGTGTACCAGAACCTCAAATCCAACGAAGATTGTCCTAATCGCCTTTGCAGCAGCAATGTAGCACAGAAAATTTCAGAAATTTTCTGTGTTTTAGGTTGTATTTGTAGAGAGAGAGTGGGGGCATAAAGGGAGATTGACAGAGATGGGCACCGGGGAGATTACTCATCGTTCCAAAAGCCAAAAAAAGGGCTGCTTCTTTACCTAGAATTCTTGCCATTTCGGTTTCGAGTTTCTAAGCTGTTGGGTCGAAACCCAAGACTACGTTAACCATGACTGCTATCATAGTTTTAGTTGGCTTTGTAACTGTATCAGACCCCTAAAACCCAAAACAACCAACCCCAAAACGAGAGGGATGGGCAACCCCCAAAACCCAAAACAACCAAAACCCCAAAACGAGAGGGATAGGCAACAAGAGATGTATAGAAAGGGGCTGAGAGGGGTAGGAGGGAGAGCGATTGAGAGAGAGGAGCAGCAAGCCAGCGAGGATTTCAGAAAGAGTCATCAGGGGTTTGAGAGAGAGGGGCATCGAGGTTTGAGAGAGAGAGTTCCCATCACGTGAAAGGAAGAGATGGGACACCGTTGTCAGTTGTTTCTTTTCAATACCGTAGGGCTC